ACGTCATTTTTAAGCTATCTGAGCCTCTGTTAACAAGTGGTTTACAGGCCCTAAGTATTGAAACTCATAACATCTCGAAACCTATCATAAAATATTTGATGTCATGATTTGGGGTGATAAATTTACAAGATTTTGTCTCCAATAGTGTGCCTTAATGTGACAATGATTTATCCATTGTTTGATTTTAATAATGATGTATTTGTTTTCAGGAAGCTTTCGGCATACCAGTAGGTCTTCCAGGACCTTGTGCTACCGCTCTACCAACAATGTCGACAGGACTAGCAATCGATGCATACCCAATGTCAATGGCAACACCGTTTATTAACAACTTACAAGTCTCCCCAACTATATCAGAATTGGTACCATCTTTACAATACGGAGATATGACATTAGGCGGTGATTTACCGATCGGTGGGACAATAAAAGTTTGTGGGTGTTTCCCAGTCTATGGTATGATTGCGGTAGATGGGGCATTACCTTCAGCTGGGACAGCGGTAGTAGACGATATGTTTGGTAGACAGCCTTTCGAAGTCAGATGTGGTACACCATACTTTTAAACTATCAGAGTCGTTGAGGCTAACTCAGTAAATTATAACCACTGTCATGCAGATAATGCATGCATCAGTTGATATAATGTTACTCTTACTTTATTGTGATGTTATTTCTAGTTTTGTTATGTTTTATAATTCATTATAAAGATGGAAATATATGATTAACCAAAATTTTGTTTTGTTTTTAATCTGTACCCAAACCTAGGATGCGACACTTGTCCTTGATGACGAAAATCAAGCAACGCAGTCAATGAATGTTATTTTATGTTTGTGGGTCGAGGATTTAAAAAAAAGAATAAGTCACGTACCACTTCTGTCACATGATTTATCACGTTTTCGTTTTTAATGATTTTACTAGAGGATCGACTGTTACTTGAGCAGAATCTAGAACTGAAAAATGTAGCAGATTTTTCTGTCATTCCCGGTCTTTCCATATTTCTATTGAGTATTGTATTGAATTGAATAATTTTGCAATTACTTCCAAAACAGATATTAAAACATGTGTAATATAATAAATAATATAAAAAATAATATCATAGCAATTATTATTTATAAGTAAACCAGCGCTTGACCACGGCTCTACCTAACCTAAGTGAAGACGCGGCCGTAGGATAGAGCGAGATAGTTCAATAAGTGCCGATTCACCCTGCAATTATTTTATCCATTAAACTTGGCAGATTATATATTTAGTAATGTACTTAGCAAAAATTAATACAAATTACGTTAACTCATACTAAAATGAACATTATAAGTTTAGCTTCAACCAATTCGCAGTCCTGAAGTAATTGGTTTTTGTTAGCTACTTAGTGGTAATTTATACGACGTTTTTACATGGGGCCTTTTTTCTTAGAACATTTTTGTCTTTTTACTATAACAGTGTCTTGATTTTTAAATCACTAAGCGAAAACTAAATAGACAGGAGAAACAATGCTGCATTAAGTGTGCTCTTACTAGGATGGCACGGACAAAAGGCTTTTGTTACAAGTGTTACTCTCCGGAACATGCTAAAGAACAAAAGACTCGTAACAGCCTGTTTACAAGCCTAATACAATCATACTAATATTATAAATGAGAAAGTTTAGATGGATGGATGTTTGTTAGAGTTTGTAGCCTAAACGGCTGAGAGGATTTCGATAATGTTTGGTATAGATGTCAGTCTGGAAGAATAAATAGGCTACTTACTTTTGTTTTTTTTTTTAATTCCACGATCACAGAGTCGCGGACGAAAGCTAGTTTGAAAATATTTTTAAAACGACTTTTAAAATGAAAAACCACGTATTCAATTATTATATTTAAATTACAATTGAAATTGTCTCAAAATTGGAATTCGATTGTAGAATTTCATCAAAATTTATTTTAAAAATCTATAGAGTTCAATACGTAGACAGGTAAAAAATAAAAATAAAGTGTACGCCTCGACTTGTCTTTAGAGGAATAATTATTTTCAGTTGCATGAAAAATTGTTCACTGATGGATGTTTTAAAAAAATAAATTAATTTATAAAATACATAACTTTTATTAATACATACAACGTTTGATATTACATATATGTAAAAAAGAACATGATGTATATAATTTTAGTAGTACAATTGTTTACAGGATGTAGCTATAAGGTCCACATACAGGGGAGGTAGGCACGGTGGCAATTACAGTTGGACCTGCAAGAGGCAGTTTCTCTGCGAGTAAAGAGCTGACAGTAAGAAGAGACAGGGTATCAGCCAGGCTAGTAGCGACAGCGTTAGATTGAACGATAGCTGGAGTTGCGGCAGAAGAGTAGACCACTTCGGTAGGCATGCAAGACGGTGCGGCGATAACGCTTGTACCTCTCAAGGCTTGGCCGAAGACAGCCTAAAAAATAAAAGCATATCGCCTATTTGGTAACTTCAACAAATTTGGTTTGTACTCAGCTGTTGAATAATACCTATTAATATTCTATGTAAAACAATAGATGATGCAATCCATGTTTATATAAGAAGACTCACGAGAAAAGCATGATTTGTTTACATTGTCCAGAAACCCGAAATTTTGTTTGGTTTAGATAAAATGCTTGTGGAAGTTAACGAAAAAATGTTACAAATTCCTGCAATAGACTAAAAAAAGGACATGTAATGAAAATATTACAAATGTATTTGATAAAGAAAATTTTAAACGTTAGAAATTTAAATAAAAATAGTATTACCTGGAAGCCAACAGCTACAACGAACAAAAGGGTAAAGAATTTCATTTTCGTTGAAATACTACTTCAGAATAATTGGTTTTACTATTTTTTGTAGAATTTATATGAAACTATTTACCTAATTAATGCCGTAACAATAATTGGGACATATTTTATCTGTATATTGTCAATTGAAATACAAAACAAACATTTGAAGCACGCTTTAGTTCAACTATTTTGTTATAAATTCCTAGAAAAATTACTCAACTAACCATTCGTATAGTGCATGGAACAAATAGTTAAGTTAATTATTTGTAAGTCTGTTAGAAATTAAGAACGTTAGTAAATATAAATAAAATGTTTAAACTATATTATATTTAATGCCCCAACATGTACGTTACTAATTAAAAAGATGATTACTTAGAGCTCGAAATTGAATATAATTTTTTTTTCTATTATTTTTAAACAACGTTATTCAATATAATAACTATACGTATAAAATCGTTAATCCCTAAAAAGGCAAGCCATTAACAATAGTTATAAACATAGTTGACAAATATTTACATAGATCATAAGAATGAATCTACATTTCATTCATATTTTATAACGTACTAACGTTCATTTTCAATTCAAATGTTATGAACAAGTAAATAAAGTATTAGAAAAAATATAGTAAAGGTCTTAATTATGCCCTTAGGGGTTAAGGTTTCTTATTCTAGGAAAAAATCCATACAAAACAATCAATTGAGAAAATGCGGTGTAAACAAAGAACGTCATCGACATGGCGGCTCTGCGCATGACTTTTAGCTACCAGTATTCACACAGGGTGGTTTTGATCGTAAAATAGTATATCTTCTATCTATACTTATAATAATATTGGAGGGTTTGTAGTATTAAAAGAAAAAATCCTGATAACGGGAAGTAAATGTATTTGCGTTGCTAATAACGAAAATCGCATTTAAAAAAAATTGTCTGTCTGCCTGTCTGTTAGCCTGCAAGACGCGTTTGTTTCGGATAATATCCAAAACGCCTGGGCCGATTTCGATTGGACTTACTCTGAAAGGTAACTCACACAGACGGGCATATTATAAGCTACTTTTTTTTTAATTTCGCGTTGTCTAAATGGCGTAACAAGTGGTCCAAGCGCTAAAGAAGTTTGTGGGTCAAATCATTTATATCATTAAATCCAAAAGGAGTAATACGTTCACACTTAAGACTCAACAGAGAATGGGCAAATTAACTCGTACCATCTTTCAACTTCACTCGAACTTAACATCACATCCAACGCTACATTGCACTTTGTACAAAAATGTCTCTCTAAAAAATATCTAAAATGTTTGGATCAAATTGTATCAAATATAGACATTGTTATACAAGATTGTCGTTATATATGACAATGTATATGCATATGAACTACTTGTTCGTCTTTGTGCAATATTTTACTGAATTTTTAGAAAATCCACCCCTGTGTATACAGTTCCTACGTTCCCTAAAAATAGAGGGGTGAGGTTTACTTACATTTATATTGTATTATATAGCATCCGACTGCGGCATTAGTTGCCAGTCTACTTTCAAGCCTGAATGTCGTTTTCCAAATCTTTTATCATTGTAGAAGCTTTACCAGTAAAAAAACTATTAATGTATGACGAAGTGAAAAAACTAAACAAAACTTTGTAAGTGGTATTGTTCTATAAGTGTAGTGTGAAGGTAAAGTGAAGTTATGACGTTACATGCCTTACCGGCACTCAGTTACATGTTACAGGAACAAAGTTTTAAAAGAATCGATTCATCAAAAAGTAGTATGCCTTCTTTAATTTATCGCAATCGGTAAGTGGAACTGGAGATTCTTCTTATAAGTATCATCCCTTTAAAAAGCTCAAGCTCGATCAATAAGTTGACTGCGGCTAAGCCTACTCTATTGATTATTTTGTCAGGTGTTTTTATGGTTGGTAGATGAGTAGATAGTTTCTTTAAAACACGACTTGCAATAGCCGACATTGATTACAATAAACATTTACGCATGTTTTAATAGTATTTTTCGACAAAAGTTTTATTCACTTAAATTAAATTAATACCTGACTTTTGTTACATTTTCATAAATATTTTTACAAATCCACTTTATCTGGATATCATTAAAATTTAAACGTAAAACTAAACGCGCAAAACATTCTAACGAAACGTCACATTTCCGGCCGCCATTATGGAAAAATTGTATTAAGCGACTAAATTTAGACGTACTAAGAGCACGTGTATTTTGTATGACAGTGGGGTACTTTTCTATTTATTTGAATTAAATTGACAACTTTGAACAAGTTTGAGCAGCCAAGACACGACTTGTCTTAATTCGTCACCGTGTTGTGAAACGCTTTGCTTGTGCAATTTGCCAAACTTACGGTTTTGACCGTGTTTTGTTTTCAAAGTTCAAACAAGGCTTAACTACGATTTGCCAATATGACGAAGTTAATACAGCAGTTAAACTTTAGTAGTAGTAATTACTTTGACCTTGCTGGTATTGAGCCTAACGCCATTAAAGGAAAGATTAATTAGTAAGTACCACTTTTCCTTACTCAATTATTTACGTTCATAAACATAGTTCCATCAGTAATTGTAATAAACTAAGCAACAACAAAAATTATTAAACCAAATATATTCGTACTACGTCATCACATCACACCATAAGTGACAGATTACCTTTGCTTTGTTACAAATATTTATGAAGGCACTCTGATTGGTTTTGAATTTGCTTTAACCGACTTGATTATATTCTGGCCTGAGTGAAATAAATTTATATTTACAATAACTATTGACTTAAGCTTTAATACTAAGACTAAAATTAAGTATGTAGGTACTTGGAATACCTAGTTTATGTAACTTATAGAAACCAGTTTATTGAACTACTTTGTCTACATATCAATATTTGTTATGAACACTGAAGTGCAATAAAGCTATTTTTTTTTAAAACTGTATTAAAAATAATTAGTAATGCATGTTATTTGTATAGAATAAAATCTAACATAAGCTAGGTTCTACCTACTGACCTCCATGAACGGACAGGCTACAAAAGGTCATTTTGTGTCTATTTGATTTTGGTGCTGATGGTTGCTCATGATTATGAGATTATGAGAATTAGTATTAATCATGGAGATAGAATTAACCAATATTTATATCAACAGGCACATTTATTCAAATTGAAACAATACATGTCATTTTGAAGACCTATCCACTTATAGAGATCATTGATTTTCCCTTTGGTACAATATGTCAAATTACATGATGAGAGAGACAGGAAAACTTAGTAATAAACAAATATTGATTTTTATTTATCCAGAGAAAAAAACAAATAACATCTATTGAATTAAACTATTCTTTGTTCATTTTTATTCTATTACTTACATCACATTCCTACGGAGAATTGGCACAATATGTGCTGCTCTTATGTCTGAATCCACTCCTTAAGCATATCTTACTCTCCTTTCTGATTCTTGCATCAACCACTCTTTCTCAAGCTTTCATACTACTGAGCTTCATTCTTCTATAGTTGTTACAATCCTGTATATCCCCTTATTCTTATAAATGGGTACCAACTAACAAGTTGAAGAATAGAGCCACACTCATCCATCCAACTTGAGCAGCTTCGTTACTTCCACTGGTATTCCATTCGTCCCAATAGGGTTTCCATTCTTCATACCTGCACTGCTTCCTTTTTTTCATCCAAAATTAACTGCCATGTTTTCCAACACTGCACTCCAAACATTCGCTTCCTTTCACAGTTTTTCAGAATAACCTTCTATTGCTTCTTATATCATAACTTATTAATACCTTTCCTACATCATCTTTTATACATCTAATTTGTTTGTCTCTTCCACTTCTTTCTCTCTCTCTCTCTCTCTTTAGCTATATGGAACAGGTGAGTATAAGCATTCTTACACTGCCTATTATACTGTAAAAAATGTATTGATATAGTCATAAATAAATCATGATCGCCTGAAATCTTACATAACCTTTGAATAAAAAAATTACATTGTAAGTAGGAGCTGTAGTTCTGCGACTGTTTTGTTCCATTCATGTTAATATTGCTTCACATTTGTATCAATTTAGCAAGTCAATTATTTGACCTTGATAGTCAGCATGTAATATGAACTTTTATTACTACACATTGTTGCTTTTGCAATATTTCATTAGATTCAATTGTGTGTTTATAAAAGGAATGTATTATATCTGATGTTATTTTTGCAATTAGGTTGAAAACTTGCAATGTAATGTAATTTCTTGCTTTTGTAATGTCGGATCCCGATGTTTTTTTAAGAATGTATTTTGCTTATTTAGTACCTAATGAAACTATTTCTTCATACAAAGAGTCACCAAGTAATCCTTTCAACCTTTCATTGAAATCAACTGTAAAGTTTCGAAATAATACCACGATAAAACAAAATCTCATTCGCGCCTCCACTTTTCTAATAAAATCGAAAGTAATCATTCGAAAATAGGATTGAGCGAGATAAAAAAATTCCGGCGACCACGCCTCAGTTGCGGATTTAAAAATAAAATGTAAACATTATTCTTGCCAATACGCCAAAACACGTGACACTTTGTTTATTTGGGTTTTCATGCGTAACCTTCAGCAATTTTTTTTTCGCTATAATCCATGAACGTTATAATTGTTGCTTGGAATAAAAATGTGTAGTGAATAAAGGTGAGCCTTTGAGGATGTATTACAATGGCATTTTTTATTTCATCCACCTAACTGCTGACAGAATAATTTTAAATGGTTCTTAATTGGTTGGTACTTCAATACAAATTCCGGGTTCTTTCAACACACGATGTAGGTTTCCATGCACAAAACATTTTATGTTAAATCATATTCATTCACTTTGAGATGTGATTAAAAAAACTTACTGCAAAAAATCTTCTGATTTTTTTCTTCTAGACGGTACGATGTGAAATTTTTTTGCAGATACCATAGTAACATAAATAGTATTAAACTGTAAAGATGATATTTTTATACTTGTACTTTAATGGTTCTGTTGGAAATTGAGCTTTCGTGTATTTCAGGTAAATTTGTAACGATGCTCTAGGCTCTAAAGATAATATGCGACAACTGATATGATTGTTATTTGAAAAGCGATAAAAATGCATTATATTTACTTTTCATTTCATGTGTAATGTACTTGTCCTTCAAATAACATTAGGTCTCAGACACATCGAGTGTTACGGCGTAGTTGATTTAAAAATAAGTTGCTCCAGCTGACGGTGTAATTGTTCCTACGGACATAAATTGACGTTGCACGTCTCAATACCTATTCATTGATATAGAGTGCATATCAAGGTTAAGACTGCCCGGCCAACTTGGATCAAATATCTACCTATAAAAAAATTGGAGTGTTTGTAATATCAAAAGAAAAATTCCAGATTTCGGGAAGATGAAATAAATTTAGCTCCAATGAAGCGCGCAATTAGGTTGTATAAATCTGATAATGTTTGTTTTCGATTTTGCCGCTTAATTTAAAAAAAAAATACAGGCAAATAGCAACAGTTCTCTTCAAAAGAGACAATGTATGACTACAGAGTTTCGTTGCCAAAAAGACATTACATAGTTTAGTTTGACATAATGATACATTTCTTATGTACTTCTTTTTTTATCGGTTTCTTATGCATTATTGGCACGCAAAAGTAATATTAATTATTTTCTTTATCTCTAATTTAGATATTGGAAAGTGTTGTTTCCTTTTAATATTCTTTGAACACATGATATGAAACAAGATGAACTTTAAACATGATATTACGAATTTGGTCACCAAGTCGAGTATACTGTTCCTTTTGTTTCTAATAATGTTTCGTACGGGGATTTGTAAGTAAATCGAATAAAATAATAGTAATGTAAAATGTGTTCGGTCTATCGTAAGGTTTTAATTACTATATTCTATTGCGACCATAATGTGTAACGATCTTTATTTGAGAGAGTAAAGAATCTATTTCAGTCTACAATTTCTATTCAAAAGCAAATAAAGCATTTGCCAACTTCGAGAAGTATTGACGCAAGTTTGTTCAAGAAAATTTATATCTTGGTATACCTTGTGCGTAACTCCTGTGTTAGTATTTTCCTTTATTAAGAAGTTTTCAAACTTGTTTCACAATCGAATCAAATTAATTGGATGTTGGTAGAAAAACGTGACAACGAAAGTTATGACAAACTTACGTAAATTAGGAACAGGAGATGTCGAGGATTTCTTCGTGTTAGGTAAAAGACCCAAAAGTCCCTAGTGACCCAGTAGTTCATAATTTTATATTTGATAAGATATTCGATTTAATTTGTGCTATTTATTCAAATAGTAAATATATATAAAAATATAGTTCCTTAATGAGTATGGATTCAAAAATATACTTAAATATTCATTCAGTTGGCTACGGTAACAAGCTGTCCTTATGTTGTCACATAGAGTGACGTAGATTAAATATATGACTACCTACATTATATTACAATTGCTTTTGGCAATGCCCGGTAAACAAATATATTTTCCACGTTTTGAATATGTTGCCCATTAGTGAAATGGGGTTTTCTATTCATATAATAAAATTGGAGTGTCTGTTTATTAATAACAAAAGAAAAATTATAAATTTCGAGAAGATCATGTATTTGTGTTGATAATAACGAAAATCGCATTTAATTTTTTTTTTGTCTGTCTGTCCGCAAGCCGCGTTTGTTCCGGGAAATTTCCGAAACGGCTGAGCCGATTTTCTTTGACTTAGGGTACCTGACATAGACGGGGATATTATATGCTACTTTTTTATCTTAATATTGCGTAGACGACGTCGCGGGCAACAGCTGTATTTAATAAAATTACTTTCTTATCGCTTTTTAAAAACACCTAACCATTTCACCTTGAAGAAAGTCAAAACAATGCGATAGTAAACAGATGACTGAAAACAACAGCCTTATCTTAAGAGTGGGTTTAATTAATAGGAAATTCATATTTATCTTTCACTTATAAGATATTGTCGCAAAGGTACTTTTACAATGGTGCAATTTTTTCTTTTGTTTATTATAAAAACATCACAAAAGTGAAAGTATTTTTAAGCAAGTCAATTTTTTTCACATATCTATCTATGGTTTAAGATCTAGATATATCTAAAGGTTTAAGAATATTACGTTTAAAGTTTTCCTTTACTTTTAATCTTCACCTGAAGGTAATACTGATGTAATTAGTCAAAAAATTAACCTGGATCGCGATGAGTCAAGTAACCATCAAAGAAATTTAAAATCATTTAATTCTTATATCCGGTAGACGGCGTAAAAACAATTATCCTCGGCCTAAAATTTATATTGATAAAAAACGGTCGATGTATAATGTCTCTTACGTTGTTTCGTTTTATATCTATTTTTATATTTGGCAAAGTTCTCTTAATTTCGAACCGGGCATGTTTATCCCGCTTTCTATCAGTTCCCGCTAGAGTTTCCTATAAAACGGACGCCTTAAGAGAGAAAAACAAACATTATATTTATATTCTGACCATAATATGCTGTATACGGCATACAGCATAAGAATAATATTCAGAAAGATTCCCTCTAAGAATCGAATTAAAGAATTATAACGTAGCCGTTTAATATACCAATATTTTACATTCCAGTGTTGTGATATTATATTTAATTTAAATTTAAACTAACAAAGAATTTATTTTTATCTTCTTAATTTAACTTTTGCTCTTTTTCAACGATGGTCCTGAAACTATACGGGTAAGAATAATTTTATTATCAACAAAAATGCTTTAAATATTTCCTTCTAGAAACATCTTTTGATATCTGTTTCTGATGTGATTTTTCTAGGTTTCGACTTATCAATATGTGTCATATTTGATATTTTTTCATGTCCGTAACTCCCTTCGGAATGCCATATCGCAGCAATATCCACAGCCTACATCCCTGTTCCATTGCAGCGCCTAATCACGCTTGTTTTTTTTCTATCTCTGTGGTACTTGTTGATGGACGTTGATGCCAGTATTTTCTTTTTCTTTATTTGGCTCAGTGGAAATGGTTCATACATTACTAATATGATACGAAATATTATCTTTCTAACATTATAAATGCGAAAGATTAGGTGGATGATTGGTTAGAGTTTACCGTCTGAAAGACTGAAAGGACCTCGATTAAATTTGGCATAGGTGTAGAGTATAGTTTGGAAGACAACGTAGGCCATGCTTTTTTTTTTAAATTACTTTATGTACAATGACTAGACCTTAAGGAAAACGCAATAAACAATGATATTTATTTCGGTACAAATAGTCTTGTTTTGTGAAGCAGATATACAAAAAATACTATCAATTTAGGTGAGCAAGTCTAACCATTACCTGTGTATGTACAGATGTAATTTTCTGTCGTTGTTTTATCGTCAGAGAATAAGAGATGCCAATATGTTTTTCTACATGTATTTCGACAATGGAAACTCAGTACATGCGAGTTATTACAGTCACGTGTAACCGTCTCGCCATACCATCTTGTTTATAATACTTATCATTGTATTATTAGAGATTTGAAAGATTATTTCTACGTACATTTCGCTGTTTATCTTTTGATATAAGAGAATCTTATTTGTCAATGTAGATAAACAAGATAAGATTTGATGCTGAAAATGTTACACAAATATTGAATTCTGTTTCACGCATATATCTAGCAAATAGTTTTGAAAAACAAGAATAAGTAATATTACCAATATTATAAATGCAAAGGTTTAGATGGATGGATGTTTGTTAGAGTTTGTAGCCTAAACGACTGAACGGATCTTGATGAAATTTGGCATAGATGTGGAGTACAGTCTGGAAGAACACATAGGCTTCTTAGTTTATTTTTTAATTGCACGCGGACGGAGCCGCGGGCGAAGCTAGTACTTTCATAACTCAAAATTTCCGTAATCACAATAATAATGTAACTTTTTCGTAAGTTTAGAAGACTACTAGGTTGTCTGGAATTCTAGAATCTAGGCTATCATGACTGCCTGTCCCACATAGACTATTCACGTCAAAAACAAAAGACTTGTTATACTCGTACCTTCGTTGAAGTCTAGATTACAGTACGTGTCAGTTACTAACATGTTGATACGATGTCCGTGATGGAAAATTTCCATACATCGGAACCAGGTCACTTGAATACTTGTAGGTTATTGTGAGATATTCACAATTCTTAAGATATGTTAGCTCATCGTTTTGATTATCAGTTTTAAAAACCGACTTCCAAACAAAATACACGAAAAACAAAACAAAACAAAATACACCAAAAACAAAATATTCTCAAAAAAAACAGTACACTAA